TGTTACTGATGAACCAACGGACAAAATCTTCTCAGTCAATAGCTTGATAATCTCCACAGACTAACGATGGACCGAATGATCTCCTTCTTCCTGGTGAGCCGGCCACCTCAGGGGAAATTAAAGAAACCTTTGACTTCCTGTCGTGAAAATCACTGGAAGATTGCGTTATATTGATCTTTCTTTAAGCTTATAAAAGATATCCAGGAAAAAAAAATTGAGGAAAATAAACGTGATGAGATCGCTGTTCTTTTTCCCGTAGAACCTGAAGCAATCTAGATTACATATTAACCATGGGGAGTTTCATTCCAGTTACGAGTTACGCTTTGCGTGTGGATAATGAGTAGTTTCAAAGGTGGAATTATGACATTATGATTTCATTGAATCTTCTATTACGAACTTTGTTTTGATTTTTTCTTTATCAAGACATGGAAGGAAACATTGACTTACTCGATTGCACTGCGGCGGTGATAAGTCAGTCTCTCGTTGTCATATCTTATGCAAATTTTCTGACAGTTTTCTTACAATCTTCAGATGATTCGAAATATCTCAGTTCCTGTCACCCAGAAACTACAACTGCCCGAGCCTGCTCATTGGAAGAAGGGGCAATATGGGCCTATCCGCACTAGCGAAAAACATGTTTATTTAGACAAATTTCCTGTCATCACCAACACTTTACAAGTGTGGATGGTTTGTCGCGACTTGACAAATTTTGATAGAGGCGGACAGTTTTTCAAACATATCGCCGACGAAAGTTGTCCCGGATAATGTCTTGGCAAAATCGAATAAATAAACAAAACCGTGATAAACATGTCGATCATTTTAACACCAGTGTGGTAATTGAACTGACTTCAGTTTACCAAAAGACTGCAGTAATCGTCTTTCGTTGCGAAACTCGCGGATTTTGCTAATTCAGACAAATCAAGATGAATCATTTTAACTTGAATTTAAATCCACTCGAAAAGTAAAGCAGCCACTCTTATGAGCAGGTTAGGCGCTGGAATTTCCCACCTTAGGACTATCAAGGGAACAATTTACAGGCAGTTGGGGCAAGTTACAACGGTGGAGTGATTATCCAGTCGCCTCTTTACCAGTCCAACAATGAAGCAGTAGAGGTGGCGCAAGATCCAAAAGTGCCCACTCGAAGTAAAAGGAAAGGAAAAGCTTAATTGAATAAATTACTATGGAATATAGTATCGGTGTCATTTTTGGCTGTTGACCGAATTTGACAGCTTTGACAGCTTCGAAACTTTTAGTGCGGATGCAACAGAGGAGACAAAAATTTGTCTTGATAAAAATTTATCCTTTGATTTTCTCGGGATAATTTTAGTTTTGTTTGCTAGTGCAGACAGGCTCTATGTCAT